CACGCGGACACGCGCACACGCGCACACGCGGACACACGGACACCCGGACACCCGGACACACGGACACACGGACACACGGACACACGGACACACGGACACACGGACACACGGACACACGGACACACGGACACACGGACACACGGACACACGGACACACGGACACACGGACACACGGACACACGGACACACGGACACACGGACACACGGACACACGGACACACACACGGAGACACACACACACACACAGAGACACACACACACACACATTCACACTCACACTCACCCACGCACTCACTCGCGCACCTCTCTACTCTTTCTCAATAGATAAATTTGCATGTGGGGTGATCCGGTCCTTTAATTCAAGACTTGTCGCAAGACGTTGTCAGTCACAAAGTCGGGATTCAGATTTGTTGTCCGTGTTGGCCTGAGGTCAATCGCAGGATTTTCGTTTCAAGCCTCCAGTCGCCATCGTGCAAGCTTAGTGCTTGGAATCGGAAACCGAGCAATCCGCAGCATGTTTTACAAATTCGCTGAGACAAAATGACAGTTTGATTGTGGGCTGGCCAGGAACTTGCACAGACGGCGCAAATGCCCAATTGTTGGCTGCTTTGTACGACGGCTCATTACTGGCTCTGTCTTACGAACACTTGAAACCAGCGTGAAGCATGAACCGAGTTTGGCAAGGTGACGAGTTCCAAAACGAAATTCGCTAGGGGGGCACCAGAGTTTCGTCACTGTCGGCAAAAGACCGTTCAACACGGGGGAGATTCCCTTCGAGCCGCAGCACGCATGGAAAAATTGATGCGTCGGCAGGTCCGTTTTTTTCCAGTTTCAGAACTGTTTCACAGACCCTTTGCCCATTTTGGTAAAATACGGTGAAAGGGTGTTTGATGGGAAGACACCCTTGGATTCTGGTCAAAGCTTGATTTTCAAAACACAGAAGGCCCAGCACTGCCCAAACCCTCCGCAAAAGCCCAGCAAGTATTAGGCCTGTTAAACAGCTGCTTAAACCCTTTGCGCAGAAGGCCCAGCACGTGCCCGGCGAGTATTAGTGCTCTTCAAGTGCTGCCTAAACCTTGTGCAGAAGCCCAGCAAGCATTCGCTCTCTTAAACTGCTGCCGCGTGAACCTGGGTTCAAGCCTGAAGCTGCGTAGTTGTGAAACTTCAAAAAGGCACAAGTAGCTACGTCCGAACCATGCAGCGTGCCACATCCGAAAGATGTTGGTGTTGCTCCCATAGCAACTCTATCGCGCCCGAACGATGCTCGAATTGCTTCCGTAGCAGCCTTGCCGCGTCCGATGTTGGTGTTGCTTTCGTAGCAGCCATCCGAACGATGTTGGTGTTGCGTCGCAGCTCTGCCGCGTCCGAGCGATGTTGGTGTTGGTTTCGTGACACCCTGCAAAATCCGAAGAATGTTGGTTTCGCTCCGTAAGCAGCCCATCCGCGTTCGCATCCGAACGATGTTGGTGTTGTTCCTGTAGCAGCCCTGCCACATCCGAACGATTGGTGTTGCTTGTGTAGCCTGCCACATCCGAACGATGTTGGTGTTACTTGTGTAATCTTGTGTAGCAGCCCTGCCACATCCGAAAGCTATTGGTGTTGCTCCCGTCGCACCGTAGCAACCCTGCCACATCCAACGATGTTGGTGTCGCTACTGTAGCAGCCCTGCCATATCCGAGCGATGTTTGTGTTGCTCCCGTAAGCAGTCTATTACATCTCGAGGATGTTGGAGTTGCTCCCGTAGCAGCCCTGTCACATCCGAACGATGTGGGTGTTGCTCCCGTAGCCCGTACCAGCCTTTCCACATCCGAAGAATGTTGGTGTTGCTCCCGTGAACTGTGCAAATTTCAAATGCAACGTCCACAAAAGAGAAGGTCTCCGAATATCAAAAACTTTCATCCAGCAACTTAATGTGGCCACCAATGCCAAAAGAACTTCCCGAAGTACGCACGTCAGTTGCAGCTCAAACCTCTTCAAACGAACCGGGCGTAGTGGGTGCAACGGAGGAAGTAGAGCCCATGAAACCCAAAGAATGGATCAGTTCCGGTGACTGCCTTGACTAATGCGACAAGCATGAAAGATCATTCGCAGACAGATAGTGGTCGCCCAGTGGAACTTTGGCCAGACCTCGTATCTCTCTGAACAAGCGATTGCCAACTGTTGGAGAGCGCCGCGCCCTATAAGGTACCTTCATATGGAAAAATGACTTGCTCAGACAATGACTTCTCAAGTTGTTTCCAAAACCATGGTTGCGCTCTTTGTGTGCTGATTCATACTGCCCACACGGTGCAACTTTCAGTGCGTAGCAATTTCAGCGGAAGGTCTTTTGTGATTCGAAAACGCCACAGATCTTGTTGATAAAAACCTTGTCAGAACTTGCCTTAATACAATGCCAAAGACAACAGCCCAACCAGCGTATCCAGTTAAGGTTGTGGAATGCAAACATATGCAAACCCAAGCTGCGCGAGAAATGAATTGCCAGCCTATCCAATGCATGTGAAAGCCGCATTGAAGCTTGCGCCGCTTCAGTGGAATGGAGAATGCAGCAGAAAGCCAGCGCTACAGTAAACATCATCTCTGCCACTTCTGCATCCTGAAGCCCCAGCAAACCGTCCATGTACAATGAAAAAACTCAACAAGAAGATGCATGACCCCGCGCCTCTGGCAAACCAATGCGGAGGACATCGCACCAACTGGACACACAGTGTATTATTAGAAGTCGTCGCCAGTACGAACACTAGTACTCCCTGGTCAGAAGAACGAATGCGTATAGTTTTGTGGGCTGCTTTGATATCCAATGAAAAGCCGGCCAAGACCTGGTGTGTAGGGAAGGAAGACTTCTGTTTCACACGCACAATTCGTGTTGCAAATGGAACTCTCCACAACCGGCCTCATGCTGCTGCTGCTGCTGCTGCTGCTGCTGCTGGAAGCGGACAGGTTCTCCGTGCTCTTCATGGACACACAGCCTCGGCATCACGGCCCAGTTGCGTCAGTTGACGATCGATCGATCGGGAGATGCAGCAACAACGGGAAAAGAACAAGCATACGTGCTCCCTGAGGACTAGCTGCGTGACTTGCGTGTCTTCACAAGGTCCAAGGGGTATGCAGAGCCAATGACAGCGTCAGGCAGTGGGGCGTCTTCTTCGCATCCCGGAGATGCCGAGAAGCCAACGAAAGGGAACCTAGTGGAAACGATTGTTTTCACTACCTAAGCATGTATTGAGACTGAGACAAGTAGGTCAGGCTGGATCCTTACAATCGAGAAAAACGTATCCTTCCTCCTGCAAAATTTATCCACTTCCGCTTGCTGGTGCCTCTGTGGTTGGCCGTCGTCGCATCGTTGGAAATCTTGTTGATGTGAGTTTTCATTGTTGTTCGTCTTCCTCACTAAGAGACAGCTTTATTGCTTTCCAAGTCGTCATCGTGCAATTCGTCAGGCGTTTGGCTTGTGGACGACAATCGTTTCATTTTTCCCACGCTGACATGTCAGGGGGAAGCAAATTTCAAGCAGCAACCGCATCACATGAACATTGACTATGTTTGCTACCACTCACAGTCCATGAAAGGCTTGGCGATTCAGCCAGTCTACGGAGCGTTGAGTGCGTGTTTGCTATCTAGAAAATGTGATGGCTTCGGCGGCTTTGGCAGGTGCGGTGTGGGAACATTCTTGCTTTCGAAGCAATGTCATGTAGATTTGACATTCCAGACAGCAAATGGTTGGTCAACTTGCGCGCTTCTGCCAGTCCCAGACCCGGATGCGCGGCCAAGCAGCGCAGCCAGGCAGGGTTTTGATGTTGTCAGTCATGCGTGCTGTAGTTAACACGTGTTGTTTTGGTGGACACGTGTGGGTTTTCGATTCGTTGCGGTGACAACTGGTGATCAGTTTTGGGACCTAGGACTGGAATGCCTCGTCTGGCGCGGCCTCATAGTGCGGCCTCACCTGGCCGGGCAAGAACTTCAAGTGCCGTTCGGCAAAGTGCAAGACCTCAAAGTGTCGTTCGCGGGCTCTTCTGGCTCGTGGTTGATACAGTTGTTGCGTGTCGCTAGAACCGAATGTAGGGCAGCACGTTGCAGGTCAGCTCGATCTGGAACCAGTGCGGCCGTTGCAGCGAAAACATTGTCTCGTCGATGCAGATATTGTCGATTGTGCCTGTCGAAGTGTGCACCAAAGTATGTATGACCTAGGATTCTTACTGCGTGGGTCCAGTCTCATCACAAACTTGCATGGATCCAGTTGTTGCAAAGGTACCCAATTCCGGGCGATGTAGGGTATTATCAGCGTTGCACCCTCAGTGCCAACATCGTTGCATTTCCCAGTGCGGTTTCCATTGCATTTGCCAAACAGTCGGAAATTTTTCGGTTGCAGGTGCTGATGTGAAAGGCAGGATAAAAAAGCCGAAGTTAGACAAAGACATGGCCAAGCTCAAGGCTTGACGTCGTACATCGTCACACGTACAGCTTTGTAAATCTGTGCTGACGTGGAAACGTTTTCGTGCTGCCAGGACCTCTTTGCATTTTGCGAAGACGCAAATTTCCGGGAGGCCATGATGGCATGTTTCCTTTGTTTGATCTGGCAGTCCGGAAATGCTTTTTGAGGTGCGGGCAATGGTCTCTCATTATCCGTATCTGTTGGGCCTGACAGATGCCCATGGATTCTCTGTAAGTGGCTCAGACATGTTTCTTCTCTTTTCTTCTGCATCAAACGGCATGTGTTGCCATTGCATATCATTGCATCACCATGCGCCGGTTTTTTATTCTTTGGCAGTACCGCAAGGCGTTGCACCATTCAGTGATGTCTGGGGAGCCCTCGTTTATCGCAAAGGCCGGTCCGCTTACAGCAGCCATTCTTAGCAATCATGCTGGCTGTGTTAGTTGTGATAATCGGTTCGTACAAGGTGCTGCAGTTGTACAGAGACCCGAAGACCTTTTCCATTAAGAATCTTATCTATGGCACCGAGGAGGACTTTGCTGCCCTGCAAAGAGAAGACAGCAGGGGCTTGATCTTGACCCGCGCTGAAGGAGCTGATGCGTGATGTGGAGATGGGAGTCGAGGTGCTTGTTGTACTTGGATCGAAAGTAGCGCATCTTGTTGATTTTCACTGCCCCGTGCGCTGCGCTGCTTGTAACATGCCCGGTGCCGGCTGAGTTTGCTGCAGCGGTTGCATGAGATTGCGTACACCTTGTCGTCAAGTCATTCGCTGAGATCGCATAAACACAACAGCTACGGGGTGACGGCAGCTTTGATGCAGGTTGTTGGCAGGAAGTCCGAGAATCATGTTGAGGCAGCTCAGCATGGGTGCTGTATGGCACTTGCCATTTTTCTTGTGGGGATGTATTGTTGCAAAATCGTTCGGTTGAGAGGCTACCGTGGTGTCAATTGGCAAAGGAACCAAAGCGGAAGAGGCTGGACTGATGCCTGGCGACCGACTTGAGGCCCGTAAGAGACTTGAGAGTAGCACGGTGGGATGCGCTGGCATACGTTGCGATACTTGGGGCGTGAGATATGTGGAGTTCGTCAGCAACTTGACACTTTCTTGATGCAGGCGTGCTGCTTCCTGTTTTTCTTGTTTGCTAAACCAAGACAGTGAGGTGAAATGGCTGAGGGTCTTCGTTTCGTTGCATGTTGGGTGGAGCGTGTTGTTGTGATAACTTTCTCTATATGTTCAGTCGTGCCTGGTTGTGCTTGGCGTTTTTTCGTTTCAACGGATTGTAGAACCGGAGCAGGGGACGTTTTTGCAAAAAAAATTCGGCCAGCATGGTGCACGGTAGACTTGAAAAGGTGTGAATGGGCTTGGATGAAAGTGCTACAAAATACAAAGCCCTCATGCGTGGCTTTACTTTCAAGCACATCCGGAGAGGATGATGTTGTGGTTTTGGTTTTCAGGCACATCGGTTTTGTTCAATCCAATCGCAATCATTGTGGACTTCTTTGTTACGTGTGCTTGCAGGCTTGCAGTGGCACCGGTTTCCTCAGCTATCGGCAACCGCCACCACTGTCCACAGACATTTTGGAAGCATTGAGGCCTTGCAGCTGATGTTACATCTTATGTCTCGCCGTGCAAGAGCTTCCAGGAGCAAGTATATCTCTACTAGCTTTGGCTTTCCCGTGACTCTCGAGTTCAGAGGGTGCTTCGCTCAGCTTGTTACGATTTTCAGCACACAAATCCATGAGGTATCACACGGTCACTCATTTTATGGTTTTGGTGCAAATACTGCAGTAAAGTTTCGAGCGTACACGAAGCTGACAAGATCATGCGAGAAGTCCCGTGGCCAAGGAATGCTGCTGTCGAGATTTTAGCGAAGGATGGTTGGACTCCGACCCATGGCGCTGCAGGATCAGCCCTCGCGACTTCGTGTGCACATGCCTTTGAAAGCTCGTCGTAGCTTCGTAATCTTCACAGCTGGAGGAAGAGGTGCTCACGGAGACAAGCACATTCTGTGGCAGCTCCTGAACGAAGAGGACCAGACACTGTGGCACAGCGGCATGTTGTCGAACGTGCAAACTAATGGCTCTAGTGACTCTCCCTCTTGGGAGGAGAAAGCTGGCCTGGTACAAGACATGACGGGATGCACGCCCGGACACTGGCTGGGAGCACGGACTCCAGTCGGATGACTTGGTTTGATGCGTGAGCTTGGTCTTACTTGCAGGGCTCAGATTGAGAAGCAGATGAGGCAGTTTGCGCCTGAGATTTGGATGTAGGTTCGAGTGCCGACTGCATGGTACACTGTGCAAGATTACGTTAACGGGGCCAGTGTGTGGAAAGTACAATGGGGTCAGACCATGATCAGAGATCCCAGACACGATGTACGACGGATGGTAGTGCGAGCAGTCAGTTCCAGTCTCCTGCAGGCGGTTTTCCTGTGATGGTTCGATGTCCCGAGTGAAGTGGAGAGGTGGAAACGTGGTAGGATTTGGCAGGATGGTGCTTGTACACGCACACAGAGATCGCAAGAGCTCCCCCTGATTATGATTCACGATGGTTTTCTGGCACTGATCTTCTTTGTATCCTTCCCTCCTGGAGTCCTAGAGTTTCGAAAGCAGCTCAGTCTCCTGAACAATGAGTTCCGTGCCCTGAGGCGAGCCAATCGTCGCCCATTGAGTGCTGGGCCCTGTGGATCCGGTTGGAAGCGTCGCCCAGCGAAGAAGGCCAGGGTATTTACTGGAGCATGTAATGTGGCGCGGCTGCTTCTGCCGATCATGCTGATCCCAGCGACACACTGCAGAGTGTCATGTTGCACTGGAATCACAGCTGCCAGAATCATGTTTCGCTTGGTTGTTCTGGACCGATCGGTTTGTCGGTGAATACGCGCCTTTACTTTGGCTGTGGTCCCTTTGGTCTCCAGGCTTCCGATGGTCCCCTGGTCGTCTGGGCTGGCCCCCTATCCTTGTAGCAACAAGGACTAACTACCACCGCAATAGTAGCAGCGGTAGCAGTAACGGGACAGTAATAGGCCCTTTTTCAAGACTTCTGATGTGGGCATGACTGTGGGATTGGGGGGTATCTGTTTGCATACAAGACAGGCTTTGGCCTCAGGCCAAATGGCAGGCCAAATCACGCTCTCGCTTTTGCACGGTTCAACTTTTAGATCATCCTGGCTTGCTGTCCGGGCCTCCAATGACCGTGTGCGGGGGTAGCCTGATAGGTGAGGAATTCGCAAGCTGCAAGTTGTGACCAGGGAGAACTGTGAAGGTTTGGAGGCGTTTGTGCTTTGCCGGCGCGAGCCGTGTGTCACATGTGCAAAAAAACGTAGGCGAGTTTGCTCACTTGCACTTCCTTGTTCCACTGTAGAGTCAGATTCACTCTGAAAGGCCTCGCTTCGGCCAGTGTCCAAGCTTGTCCCGTTCCCAGATGGGAAGGCTTTTCAAATCAGTCTGTGAAGAGAAGTGGCAGAATGGCAGAATGGGTTCCAACTTCACAGGTTCTGGCACCACCCTCCACCGATGCTGAGGAGATCGTACGCTCAGACAGGCCCTCAGAAGTGCAACAAGCTGCTCCCTGGGTTCATAAGCTTTCGATGATCATGGAGCGGCGGTGAACCTGCAATTCAAGCAGTGAGTCAAGCAAGTGTGCAGCTGCAGCCCGTTCAACGTCCTTTTTGTTGTGCATGTCGATGCGGACGATGCACAAAGGCGTCGCGCTTGTCAGCGGCACCAGCACCTTGCGTAAGCCCCGCTCTCAGAGAACGGCTTGCTGGTCTACTTGGATGCTTTTTGCGTTTACTTCTTACTCATCGCAAAAAGGCCATTTGGAGCACGTCCATAGAGCCATATGGAGCCCAGGTCGTCCAATGTCTCCAGCCTCTCCTGTGGCTCGAGATGACACGATGGGCAGTGTTGCGATTGGCACGAGTGGAACTGGCCGTGCAGCGAGATCAGGGAGCATCGGAGCAACAGCAACTAGTTTGCATTGTGGCAAAAGTGGCATGGCAGAGCTTAGCACATTTGAGGACCGCTAGTTTTGACTCCATGGGCAGTTCAACTCTTCCGAGCGTTCAGGCAAAGGACTTGGCCAAGATGATGCAGCAGAGCGGCAACAAGCCAGGTCACGTCGACCTCTAGCAGGCAGCAGATTGCATTGGACTTCCCCAGCATCGTTTGTTCATGTAACCGCATGATGCATCGGAGACGAAGTAGGTGCACTACATCACTCAAACCAGCCGAAAGAACCCGAAATTTGCTGAGACCTTCAGCGGCCATCGTCCGAATGAGCCACTCCAACCTTCCTTGGGTTTCGGTAGCCAGAACCTCTCACCACGAGGTGCAATCTGGGCCATGGCTGTGGGGTGGCTTTAGCGTTGCCCTCATGGCTCATATTATCCAGGTCTGAAGATCAGAGGTACAGGAATAACGCAGGATGCATGCTTCATCGTCGCAAGTGGTTCGGAGACTCAGATCTTCAGGCGACGTGCGGAGCGAGTGGCTTCAGAATGTGTCCTCCTTGGACATCAACTAGCATGAACTAGCTTCCCCCCCGCGTCTTACATTCCGGTTTCTCTTCAGGCAAAGGCCGTGTCAGGTCATGATGGTCATGACTTCTTGATTCGTGTTCCTGTTTCATTTCCCGTGCACGTAGAGAGGGGTACGATGCGGCGCTTTGCACCCAATAGGAAACCAATTTGGACTGGCGCCTCATGAGCCGATTTAACCAGCACATTCCTGCAGCGCAACAGCATCGCAAAAGCTGTCCCTCATGTTAATGGGTGCCACAGAAATCTGGGAACTAAAGCCTGCATACAAGCCAGAAACGCACAGGTTCAGCAAAGTTTGCCGGTGTACAGAGCACCTGCAGGCGCTGAAGACCTTGCATCAAGACAGTGAAAACCAGCGAAATGTTCGACAACTCGGCGATGCCATATGAACACCACCACGGACCGAAGGGGAGGAGGAATGGAGACCCCCCCCCCCCGACTTGGAGCCGCTCCCCTCACCGCGCATCATGAAATAAGTCCCCCAACTCAACTCCTCCCCAAGTGCTCTCAGATTTGAGAAGCTTCTCCATTTTTGAGAAGCCCATTTGCTTGAAGCCTCTCAGGGGAAATCCAACTCGTGTCAAACGCCTTTAAGTTGGGGGACCAATTTGGCTCCCGGAACAACAGTGTTGTCAAGATTGTCATGAGTGTGCAATGCCAAGATGGGGCAAGCTGGAGTGGGATGTGTCCCATGAAGCAGTTTGGGCCCTCTTCTTGATTCGCTTCATGACATGCGCCGCATATCAGAATCAACTGCCAGATGTTTCTTGTAGATTCCTCCACATGTTTCTCCAGATTGCTGATGCACCGTGCGTTCAGAATTGCATTGGCGTGCAGGCCGCTTTCAATCCTGAGACTTCTGGAGCATTGGCATCTGTCAAGCAAGTTCATGAAGCTTGCCACGGAATGGGATGGATGGTAGGACGCCCCCCTTACCATGACCTGTAAAGCTCATTACAATTCAAGAACTTTCTTGCTTGAGCGTTTGTATATGCCTTGCAGACGCCATACGTTTATTATTTCGACACCTCAATGTGTTGCAATGCTGTGTAGCCAGATCTAGAGGAGTCCTTTTTGTGGAAGAGTTTACCAGGATGTGAGGTCAGCAGAAATTGTCTGTTGAATATGGATTGTCTGATGCGCGTCGTGATTCCTGACAGTTTCCGGCTGTCTAGCTGTCTCGAAAATAGTTCTTCAACAGTGGACGGCTTGACCGCACTCTCTGGCACACATGGTTGCTCTTTGTTCAAGCTCTTGAGTGTTATTGCAGTTGCAGAAAGTCCAGGGGAAAGTCCAGGGTAGTCGTCCCTGCTGTTTCACTTGGCAGTGGAAATCTTTGTGGCATGACGCCGCAGTGTGTCAGTGCCCGCCCGCATGTGCCGCCCCCATAAAGGACCATACGGCTTGGCAGGCGCCAAGTTTCTTGTTTATGCGCGCTATAGAGTCTAGGTTTGCACGCCAGCCCTTGCTCCTGTATGGCTCCTTGCAGAATGCATTTACGCTTCGGCGATAAAGCGTGGGCGTGGAGATGTTCTGCAACATGTTCCGTCCAGCAAAGCGACTGTGGAATATTTGTCATCGTCAATGTTCACCAACACGCAACATCCTTGTATGCATTGGAAGTCATTGAGAGAACATGTGCTTGGCGGGTCGTTAAGTTATGGGTTGCTTTCATCATGCAGCGCATAGTTTACCGCTTTGTCCATAAGAATCCATGGCGCCCTGAAGCGTTGCTCCCGTGTCTCCGGTTCAGAAGATTCGACGTGTATACGGACTCAGTCGATGACATGGACTAATTAGAGCGCGGAAGCCATGCGTCAGTAATGGCTAGCGGCCAGATTAAAGTTTTCAGCACTCACTTCTCACATGCCACGCGCGTTGTTCGACTTCTTTGCTGAAGCTTTGAGGTAGGAAAATGCCCCCAAGAGCCAAAGGGCCCTCTGGCAGTTCTCGGCGTCCAGGGAGTGCACAGCAAGTCGAGCAGCTCTGCAATCGGCGAAGTAGAGACCTTCAGTGACCTTCAGCCTTCCTTTAGGTGTTGGGAGTCGTGACCTGACGAGTTTGAAGGGCTGAGAGGGCTTAGAGTCTACAGGGCTTCTACTATATGGTTGAGTCTAGATTCTAGATACTGCTTTCATGTCCTATGGCTGCAGCTACGGACAGAGGCACCCTTGCGTTCGTTTCCTGTTGCCAGTCCTGTCTCGGCATGTGACACTGTGAAGCTGGTTTGCAGGAGCCGAGTCAGACTCTGAGGAGGCAGATCACGACAGAAGCTGCGCAATTTCTACCGGTTTTCGTGCAGCTCGTGTCTGCCAGGCTTCCCGTGAAGACGAGGAGGATAAAGAGGAGGAAGACGAGGAGGAAGACGAGGAGGAAGATTCTGAGGAAGAGGAGAAGGAAGGCGAGGAGCAGAGCGACAAAGAAGGAAAGGCCAACGATGTGAAGGATCCCGACGAAGATAGTTCTGAGGACTCCTCGCAACAGGCAAAGGTCAAGAAGGAGGACCGACACCGAATCGGCTTGTCTTCGCAGAGCTCTGCTCCAGAGATCGCAGGTAACATTTCTAGCTTCTGGTTTTGTTGTGGCATCCCCTGCACTTTCTCAATGCTAGTTTGGTCACGCTATGAGAAGCTGGAGAGAAAAATAGGTCGACGGGAACCGATCCGCGCGAAGGAGGCACGAGTTCGGTTGGTGCCAGCTGGCAAAGCCCGCTCGCCATCCTCAGACAAGAAGGCCTTGTGGCAGCTTTTCTCTTTGTTTGCGGGAGGGCTACATACACATGGCAGCATATCCCTTTCATGCGTTTCTGCCGGTCATGCCACAGCAGCGTCATCCGCTCAACGAAGGACCGCAGCAAGCAATCCAAGTCCAGGAAGAAGGTCGGCTTTTGTTTTGCTTTTGCTGGACTGTGTTTGGGACACGAATGACACCGATGGCACAAAGATGCACAATGTATACGCAAACAGTTCTAGCATGCACGGAGGACCGGTCTGCCAGCAAACGGAAGAGGCCGCCCGATGCCGCCCGCATGTACCCGCGTGTGCCACGTGATGCGGTTAGTGCGCGCAGTTGCGGTTGGGAGTGGTGTGGAGGCGCGCTTCCAGCTCTCCAAGTCGCAAGCGCAAGTCGCCTAAGCGTCCAAGCCGGGCACGTCCCGTGAAACGGGACCGCTCGCGGTCCAAGTCGAGGAACAAGAAGGCGTGCCGATGCAACAAAGCAGTCATTATGTTGTGTATGATGCTCTGCTCAGTTTGCTGAACTGCAAGCTGACACCGCGAAGGACCGTGGCAGGCGGTCCAAGTCACGGAAGAAGGCGCCTGGGTGTTCCAATGTTTGCCATGCGTTGGTGTACGACTTGTTCTTGTTAACTTCTGCCTGGTTGCTAAATGGCCTGCTGTGTACTGGTAGTCTTGCGTGTTCTGTTCGGCATGAACTCGGTACGAATATGCCAACGAATCACGAAAGCTTACCTTACCTACGCGGGAGCTTCCATCTGGGGTGTGGGGCCGCGTGGGGCGTGCCGCGTCAGACCGATCGGGTCGGCCCGCCCCTCACACCCCACCGATTATGTGGCCGCAAGGGAGTGATCCGGATCACGTGGGCACAAGTGACAGTGATGCTGTACTGCGAGAGTGCCGACGGGTAACCGCGGGCTGTGACGCCTCTTCCTCTTCCTTTATGCAAGCACTGAACGCGTGGCCCCGGCTTAGGGCTCAGGATTCGTTTGTGGAGTTAAGGTTGCAGCCTTCTGTTGGGACGGGAGGCTTCAGGATTGGCAAGTTTAGTTAACGCCCCTGTTCAAATCAAGAAGGCAACATGGAGCATTTCAAACCAATTGCAGGTTTAGACTCAGGGTTTGCCAACGTTTGCCATTCGGGTTTGGGGCTTTGCTTTCTTGGGCTTGGGTCCTCGGTGGGGATTGGACCTGGCTCATGCCGCCAGGTGGCTTTATGTATTGTACGGTCTCTCTACTGCCGGTGTACTAGTTGCTTAAGCCATGCAACATATTGTGCGCACATGTCTTTTGCGCAAGACATTGTGAGACCGAAATCAGACCGCGAGGCTGGGAAGCAGCCATTCGCAAATACGGAGTTCGACAACAGATGCATAGAACCACATGCATGTTTGATATCGAAGACGAAGGAGAGAAAGAGTTAGAAAAGAACAGAATAACGGCAAACAAGCTTCAATTGAAAATGAATTGAAACGGATAATATTTGGGCATCAGTGTTGGTTTAGTCCGCAACGACAGCAAAACACGGGCCCCGCAGCAACAATTAAGAACAGACACACACCCCCCGCCCCCCCCCCCCCCCGGCAGCAAAAAAAATGGGCCCCGCCGAAGAAGAAGACAAAAGGAGCGCCCCCCCATTGTTAGACCATAGCAAGCACGGGCCGGCGAGTGAGTGAGTGAGTGAGTGCGCCTGCGCAGATCGATGAAACAATTTTTCTAGTCAACTCGCAAGACTGCGGCCCGCCGTGACAGCAAAAAGAAGCGTGCCCCCTTTGCCACCGCTGCTGCAGAGTCTTTTTGCTTCTCGTGTAGATCCAAGCTATCTCACTTTTGCCCAATACCCAGCGTCAGCCTCTTTCTTTAGCCAGCACCGTGCGATTAAGCCGCGATTAAGCGGTATGCACATCCTGTCAGCTTTCAACTGTGTTGGAGGACCGGTCTGCCAGCAAACGGAAGAGGCCGCCCGATGCCGCCCGCATGTACCCGCGTGTGCCACGTGATGCGGTTAGTGCGCGCAGTTGCGGTTGGGAGTGGTGTGGAGGCGCGCTTCCAGCTCTCCAAGTCGCAAGCGCAAGTCGCCTAAGCGTCCAAGCCGGGCACGTCCCGTGAAACGGGACCGCTCGCGGTCCAAGTCGAGGAACAAGAAGGCCTCGAGCTGCACGTGGCATCAGATTACAGCACGTTGTGTGATTTTGTGTTGTAAGCGACAGTCAACAAGAGCTGATGCTTGAAGGCCTTTCGCGCAGAGGACCGCAACAGATCCAGATCTAGGAAGAAGGCCAGTCTTTGTGGGCTGAAGGTGCTTTGCTCTGTTGCGCTGTGCTGCGCTGTGCTTCGTGCACGTCGCTGCAGGAAAGGTCTTCCAATCGACGGAAAAGGCGAGGTGCGTCAAAAGCTTGTGTGGTTCTTGATGTGCAAGTGCTTGTCAAGTGCCCGTGACGCCATCCGTTTTGAAGAGGCATTCCTCCAGCTCTCAGAACCGCAGGAGGAGGGTTGGGGGATGGGCAAGGCCGCATTGATAATCTTTGCTCAGGTCTTCGACTACCTTCAGCCTTGCTATCAAGAGTCTGGTGAGAATCCATGTCTGATGGATTGTTGATCGGAAGCGATCTCGCGGTTATGTTATGGTCCTTCAGAAATAGCGCAAAGGAGTGTAATTGTGATAACATGTGGTCAGATAAGCTGCGGGTCATTGCCAGTTCACGGAAGTTGCAGACGTTTTGTGCAGGAGCCGTTCCAAGACCAAGGCTGCAAATAACAAGGCAGGGATCTTCTTGTATCTTGCTAAGGCGGCTAAGGTGTCCGCGTTTGCTGTGCCAGGCTGCGGACGATGTCCAGGCTGTGCGGGTTGCGTGGAAAGCACGAGCAAAGCATTCCTTCAAAGCATCCGAGGCCAAATCCAAGTCGGCTGCTGCCACGAAGCATGCAGTTTGAACACAGTTTTTGCTTTCAGGGAAGATGCCGGTGTTTAGCTGTGTTTCGCTAGGCGCAGCATCTTTGCAGCACAGGTCCGGAGTTTGCTCCGCATTAGGAGCACAATGCGCATGTGGACCAATGAACTTGCTAAGGAAGCTCAGAAAGAGGGCTCTGCGAAGTCGGCTGTTCAGACACCGGTTCCGGGCTTGGCTTTCGGTTTTGGGGAAACAGGGGAATTGCTTGTAACTTGTGACCACTGATTCGGACGTACGAGTCTCGAGGAACCTGGACTTTTGGACAGCAAGAATCCTTGAGCGTCGGTTTAGGTGTTTCAGCTTTGAGGTTTTCGACTTGTTTTGGTTCAGGGTTTTTTAAGCTTTGCGTTTTAAGGGTTGATTAGAGCTTGTAAGTTTTAGGGGTTCTTCCTTGGAAGGCGACCCTTGTGTTACGGCTGGAAGCGTTAGGTTTACTTCACGCCGGGCGTTGCAAGAGTTTGCAAAAAACCATTCCAAAGAAACAACCCAAGAAACAACCCAAGGTGGCCTAGCGGCACGGGCCGACCCCGCCAACCGCCAACCCCTGCATCAACTTAGCATCAACCGGCATTTTTGTCCTGGCTCGTTTGGTGTTTCACGTCAATGAGTCCACGGCATGGCACAACACGCTTCTTCATCAGTTGTCACCGCAACTGACTTTATTTCTACTCTTGCTGCTGATATGTGTTCTTGCCCCCCTCGTCTCCCTGTCCCAGGCCTTGTCTGCCGCGGAAGAGCTGCGGCAGGAGAGCGTTTGAGTCGGGGACATGCAACGCCGCAAGAGTTTTAGAAGCTGATGGCTCAGAGTGTTTGTGCACGTGACATTTTGAAGGCATTGTTTGGGAACGCGAAGCCGGCACCAACGGCAGAAACGGCAGCCCCAAAGCCGGCACCGGCTCCGAAGATCTCCTTCGGCTTGCCAAAGAAGCCACAGGCCGAGGAGTTTTTGGCGTTGCATGCGTTGCCTCGTGGGCCGTGCCTAGCCGTGCTTACAATTGCTTACAGTAGTCGTTTCACGTCGCCTTTATGTCGCTTCCAGCTCTCCTTGCTCGCGTGCTGCTTGACCCATCTGAGAACGAGTTTTACGCAAGCCATCGGAAACCAGACTTGTAAGAGTGCAATATCAACAACCGATCTCGATGTCAGCTAGCCTTGTGGCACTGTCAATCGGAGTAGAATCTGGTTTCGATGGTTTTTGTGGAAGGACCAAAAAGGAAAATACATGCACATGTAGGGACAGATGCTGACGCACGTGCCACCTCCAGCATATCATGGTTGACGTGGGTCAGGACTGTGAAACCCAAGGCAAATAAGAAGGCGGTAGAGGTGTTTCATCCGGCCCCTGCCGAAGTGGCCGGGGTGCAGTCGTTGCAGCGGAAGGATACGGTAAAGGTCCTTCACGGGCACACGAGAGGGCACCTTACACCTCGAGTTGACCAAACACCTTCGACAGCTAAGGTGTCAAATCTGAAAGCGTCTGAAATGTACTGCCACGTGCCACCATGCCTCAGCTGTTCCATCTTCCATTCTTCTCAACCCCGGTCGTTCCCTCCGAGTGTGACACTCCAACGCTGGTATGTCGCAGCAGGAGAAGTGCATCAATTACTGGATTCTAGTTACTAGTTGTGTTCTTTTGACAAATGTGTGTCGAGAGCAGGAACGCACTCTCGACAATCATTGACTATTTGCCGAAACGTGCCAAATCTCTTCCCGAGGCAGAACATTCTGTCGTTTGGTTAACATAGCTCGTAGCTGCCTGGCATTTGATTCCAGCATTTCTAGAAGTATACATCACCTGAACGAACCCCAATGTGGCAGTACGGAGCCTTGCGGAGGAGCGTTGCGTTGGCTTGTGGTGTGCTGTTGTTTGACACAACTGGAGCACCCCGGACAATGCAGGTGATGGATTGGAGACGGCGTTCGGCTCCCGAGACGAAGCCTTTGCAGCAGGTTCCACCAGAAACGCTATGACAACCGTGTGCCGAGTGTGTGCCGCAAACGTAATATCACAACTTGATGCCAGAATACTGGCATGGTGGCTGTGGGAGCCCTGGATCAGTCACTTGCGATCTTCTGATCTAGATGAGGCGTGTGTCCCCGCACGTCGCGGGTCGAAGTTGACATTGGGCAGGTTCCCGGCACGGAGTACGCTTTCCGTGCACATGCAGGCTGGCCTCGGCCAACTTATGGGAATAACTGACTCATAAGTGATAGGATGTCTTAAGCAGCGGGGCGGTGGAAGCTGTGGAATGTCCACGATCAGTTCAAGTTCGGCAGCTGGCGGATGCAGCTTTTGAATGCTTACTGCATCTTGTAGCATTTGCAGCCAGTTCAGCTCAACGTATACGAAGGCAGTCGGATTGCACGTGCGGCAAGTTCAAGACATGAAGCTTTTCCTGGCGGTGGAAGGTGAGCTAGCTGCAGCTGTCGCTGCTGCTCAAGCCCTGCACAATCCTCGCAATCGGGAGGCAGGTGGCAATTGCGTTGGGAGCAGAGCTTGAGCATGCTTGAGCTGCCTCAGCGTCTCCCTCTGTATGTGATGATTGTGATGTCATGTCTGTTCGGAGATTTCGCGGAAGATTGCCACCCTCCTGGAGCTTCAGCCTCGAGTTGTGTGTTCTGTTGCCTCCTCGTAGAGTAGCAAGTTTTGGGCTCCTTCTCTGAGGCAGTGCCCCCCGATGACAGACGAAGCCTGCAGCACAGTCGACAGCGTGGTCAACTGAGGTGAGGTGTATGTGTTGGGAAATTTCGGTTGTGCAGGCATTGACTGCCTTACGAGCGCTGCCATCCGACCAGGCCAGTTGTTCTGTAGCAGTTGTCCGGACATGCCCTCTGTCGTCACCTGTTCGTCAGGTTGTGCAGGTACTGCAAACCCTGGCGAGCAAGCCGGTATCTCATTCCGTTGTCGAGGGTAGCCAGAGCTTTCCTAGCAAAGTGTGGCTTGCTTCTCTGACAGGCGGAGTGAGATCTCTGATCCATCCGTGTGGGTTTGCTGCTCAGAGTAACCAGAAAGCCTGCAGCCTGCAAGCGTCCTGCAAGCATCCTGCAAGCATCCTGCAAGCCTAGTGAGGACCTAGCGACTATAGATGTCCCCTTAAGTCTCTTCATCTTGCATCGCTCTTGTGCTTCACACCGATCGGCAGAATGTCGGAGGATCACATTCACGGGCATGTCCGACGATGTCACGTAGTCGATTTTGCTCAGCAGGTGTCTACAAGGTGCTTGGCATTGCGGAAATACTTGCAAAGGTCGTCTGTAAATTTTACTTTGGTTAGTCTTTGAAAGCATTTGCCACAGGGGCCTCGCTAGCCCGGATCACCGCCCACTCAACATTTTTGAAGACTGGGAGTGTAGGAGTCGCTTCATTTACTAGGGTTCACATCGAACTGCCCTGTGGAAGAAGATGCTGAACTAATTGCACACAAATCTTCAAAACCGGTGGTGTTTGTTGCAACTCCGACTGTTTCATCATGTTTCATCCGTGTTTGTGGAGGGGAAGTTGAGTTTAGGATTCGCCTAGGACAGCTGCTTGCAAGTTTGGCTTTTGAGCTGAACACGCTTCCAGTGTCTATGGCCGACATCCGCAGCACATCATTCAGGTTCGTCCAAGTTATTCCAAGTTCACTGATTGCTGAAAATCCAGTGTTTATTTGAGGGCTGCTCTGTCCTAATCTGCAATTCCGCCGTGTATTTCCGCTGTGAAGTACTTCAGGCTTAGGTGAAGTATCCACAATGATGACGGATCTGTGAAAGCATGTGATAACCGCGCCCCCAGTCAGGTCAATCATGTCGTGAACCGGCTGGCAGTGGCCGCCTTCAACACTGCACAGGTGCTGCATCGTCTCAAAGCCTTTCATCACAAATGCTTGTGTAATTTTGTGATTGTGCAAAAACAGGGAGTGCCCCTGCCATCAACGATGGTGACAGAGATGCTGAACAGGCAAAGCCGGCATATCAAATCCATGCTATTGCACAAATTACACGATCTTTGGTCTGCTTTTTCTTGTCTGGTCTGGCCAGGCATCTGCCAAAGTTGGCCACTGCTGCCAAGTCATTGCTGTTGCAGATTCCGGAGGCGGACGCGTGATGCGTCAGTGATGCGTCATTCAGCCGTGCCAGCTGAAACAAGTGACGATCGTGTCAAAATGATTTCTTTCAACACGCATCAGTTTGCTCGCATTGTAGCTGCCGCTTGCGGGAATTGTTGGACGATGGACTTTGTGTTCAGGGTGTCAGCTCGGGATATTCTCCCAGGTGGATGCCATCAAGATTATACAGGACCACCTGACCTATCGCCTGGAACTCAAGATCACCTACAGATTTTGTATGGTATGGCTTGGTGAACATGAAGAGGTTCCACAAAAGTTTCAGGGTCCAACAAGCTTTCAGAGCCTCGAACTGAGAGAGCTGCGGGAGCTGGGAGAAGGCGGCGATGCCTCGGACTCCATATTCCAAGCGGCAACGACACACCTGCAGCAAGGCCTCACAGCGTGTCTATTGTTGTATGTCGTGGCATGTCTACATGCATCATGAAACAATACCTAACAGTGCCAGGGATTGCGGCCTCCGCTTGCAGCACGGTGTACCCCATGACCATGGATGCTTTCAGCATGGGTGGCATGGGCTGCGGAATGATGCCCGTCGCGGTCTCACTGCACGAAACCATTCTTAGTCAAGACTGTTGCAGGCACGGGGCTTCAAGTAGTCTTCAAGTCACTTCAAGTGTCATGGGACATCCTTTTGGACTCAGATGGCAATGCCGGGCTGCTTTGGTTCCGAACTCAACGAGCATGAGTCGGCTCCGACACTGCCCCGTTTCAGCTTGAAACAATTTGAGAAAACTGGCATTGCAAGTGAAGGTGCCATGATGCCTGGGCAGATGGCGCCTATGGCAGGTGAAGCACTTGAATGCACGATTTTCACAGCATGCTGGCTAGACCGAAGCCAAACAAGCTTGGATTCTTGGCTACGTGTCAAATGTGAGGATGCGGTATGATGGGCTGCGCCTGGGGAGGCGCGTAGGGAGATGAAGCATGATTCGCAAAGCCAGCACCTTGCGATACCTTGCGCTTGAGTGACGTAAGGTGCCATGCCGTGTGCGACCAATGGCACCACGGAAGCGACTGGCACAACGGCTCCTACAGCACCGGCAGCTGCTACAACACCAACGGCACCAGCTATCGAGGACACCGCCGATGCGGCACCTGCCACTGTCAGAGGCCCAGTATAAACAGAGGCATTTGCCTTGCGATCCATGGTGCTGTAATAAATCTCCCCTAGGAGGAAGCTTCGGCATTTGCACAGCCCACTCCTGTGGATGCTACTGCTACAACTGCCGCGGGCGAGGAGGGCGAGGAGCTCCCCCTTCTCACAAAAAGCTTCAGCAGGTGACATCAAGTGACCAGAAAAGAACTTTGGTGAGGACAGGTCTTGACAGGACTGTATGGATGCCTGAGGTCTCGAGTTATGCCGAATGGCTGAAACTACCCGAAACTGGTCAACCCAAACTCTAGTCTAGTCGACACACTGAATGCAGCATCTCTTACTGCAGGACAACTTGCCGCATGAGTTTGTGAGCTCACTTGCGGGTGTGGCGCCTTTGAAGCAGGAGCAGCCAGGCGAAGGGTGTTAACCGGCAGAAGTAAAAGAAGATGTCGTGACTGATCAATGTGAATTGTGTGTCTCCGTTCTGCTGTCAACTTACTAGAGGGAGCGTGACCGATCTTGACTCATGACCTGCGTACTCTACTCTCTGAGAACACTTTGGGTGTCCCTCCGCGAGATGATATCAGATTCTTCATTCCCAATGCTTCCCGGCTACAAGATGCTACAGGGGAGTCGGAGTTAGAGCTTGTAGAGGCTTGCAATGGCTTGCACGACATGGGGACAAGGCTTCATAATGGTTCCAACGCTTGATGCATTTGGCCCAAGTCGTTAGACCTGTTAAAGCTATTCCTGGCTGGTGCCGAAGCATGCATTACACACTGCGCAAACCATATTCGCACTCATCAATTTCCTACTGTTTACACTTCAACATGTGAGTGCAAGGACGGGACAAGTGTTCATAAGTGTTCATAGGTTTCATCTCCGGTCCTCTCGCTGGGCGCTTGGCTCTGCGAGGTGTGAGGCAAGAGTATCGAACCAATTGTTCTCCGGCACCCCGTTGTCGAGACAAGTCCCATTTAGCAGAAGACCTTTGCTTACTAGCACTCGGTGGCAAACGTTTGCAAGTGAGTGCAGCATCGAGACTGTTGAGTGGCAGTGTCGCCAGCGGTGGAAGGCAATGGCTTTCGGATGGCTGCTGTTTATGGTCTGCATAAGGCACAGGCTTGGTTGCTTCTGCCTTTTTGCCGGTCGCTTTGCAGAAGGATGCAGATGACGCATGGTTCGCAAGGTTCGAAGGCAAGAGCGAGGGTCAACCGTATGTCAACGTCGTGAAGATGTGAGTTTGCCTGTACAAATTCAGGAGGTCCTGAAAGGGATCAGCTATGGGCCCTCCCCGCTCAAGGACTTCGTTGAACTTCGTTGAGTATGCTGTGCTCGGAATGGATGATCTCAACTTGGACGCGAGGCGGCAGGCAGGCTTCCCAACGATGATTTCATGTCGGACTCTGCCAAGGACAGGCCCCACACTCGGTTGGGTGAAGGGCTTTGTGGCATAGTCAAGGCGCAGTGGAGTTCATCTGGACGTGGAGACCTGGCGATCATGAAGAAGCTGGGAGCCAACGCGGTGCCCAGGAAGTCACGAAGACTAGCAGATTCTAGCAGGTTCTTCAGGAGTACCTGTGGTCATTGAGTCACTGGTCACTGCGGGGGTTTGTGCAATTGCACCGAAAATTTTGGGGACTTTGGCCCTTGCCTTAGGCCGCTGCCTTCAGCTTTCATTGCACGTGCTGTCAGCACCGGGTGGCTTGGAGGTACGGCTTTACGGCAACGACCCTCGCGAGGACCGCATGCAAACAGGGTCACGCGGGGTCATTACTCCATATTGCTTTAGAAGGTGATCGAGGTGATCGGTGATCTGTCCATACTTTGCTGGATTTCGGTTTCTGTGTTTTCCTGCTAAATTGTAGTCAAGATGTGTCCTTTTTATGCTGCGAGCCGGGTTTTCTAAAGAGCTTTGGACTTCAACGTCGCCTGCAGGATCATAGGCCCTTCCTGGATGAAGCACACGGCCAAGGTTTGCAGGCGTTGAATGTGTTACCCCATGCAAAGCATCCTCAGCTTTCGGCCCCGTGGACAGGTGATTCCTGGCATGAGTGACTATCCATACACTCAGATGCCGGGGAACTGTATGACGACGGACTGGGCAGTCCGCACGAATTGACTTAGCTTTGAATTGTTGTCTGAATTGTTGTCAGAAAGTTTCGCAGGAATACAATTGCTATTCGCAGATCAAAGAGCAATACAGAAGCAATCTGGAGAATGGCTTCCTTAAAGATGGCTCCTATCATCCCGCATTGCAGCCAGCAGCTTACTGGACTCGTGAGGGATTCGTGGTTTCTCGTGTTTTGTTGCTTTCCTGTCTGCTACAACAATCAGGATTCTGCTGCTGCTCAGGACGATTATCGTTATCAATGAACCAGATCTGAAGATACCTGGAGAGTCGCAGCCAAAAATGTTCAGCAGGACCGCAAGTTGTGTATCTAGGCTGACCAGCTTTTTCATTTCCATCTCTCTCTCTCTCTCTGTCTCTCTCTCTCGCTCGCTCGCTCGCTCGCCAATCTCACTCGCCACTCGCAGTTTGTCTGGTTGTCTGTCGGTCGGTCTCTAATTTGGTGCACAGTTTTGTTTTCGCACTCGGGAGGGCGATCATCAGTGCCATTGATGGCATGTTGGATGCTGAGAAGGCGGGCCAAGCAATGCCAAATAGCTCAGATGTGAGGCGTGGTGAGACTCAAGCCCGATTGGTCTCTTCAGGAGGCTGGTGCCAAAGGAAACCTGCCCAATTTCACGGCCACCTTCTCCTTCGGTGTCTGTACCGCTGCTCGTCTCAACAACGGAAATCTTGACAGGCGTTAGCAAAACACACAACTGCACAGAGCAGGCACCGTAAACCAGGACACTAAGACGGCACTCCCTGACGTTGGGTGTGGTTGGGAAGGGTGTAAAGGTTTGCATTCGGGTGGCGACCTGCGCTGGCCGAACCGCGTATCCAGTGCGTATGCGAGTTGATATGAGTTGCTAGTTGGTCAGTTTTCCTTGCTAGCAGCTTTGTGAGGCTTGTCCTGGAGCGAAGTCTAAGCCATCACTTGGTCAAGACGCTCCCACAGCAATTTGCCAAACGTTGCATGGCACTGCTGTGTGCATGTGATTCTGTGCAAACCTGAGATGCTGGAGCTACGACGAGCCATGCAAAAGCCCGAGGAGAATGGGTTCATGTCATTTCAAGCTGTTAGAGACCGTCTTCAAGAATGCATATCAAATCATACAGTTGCGTATGGGCAATCCAAAGCCAAAGATGCTGCCTGTGCCTCACTGATTCCTCATTGAGGAGTATGGCTACAAACCGAAGAACGATTTGGCCCATGTTTACAAGTCGAGGCAAGTCGAGGTTAACCCTTGTACGGTGATGACATGAAGACAGCATAAAGACATGTTGCAGTAAGAACAGCGAAGGTTCACCAACAGCTTCAACACCAACAACCCTGCCACGGACATGAAGCCTCTCTTCCTTGATGACTACGAGGCCTCTGAACTTAGATCTCGCTTGGTGAGTCGGTGTGAGTCGCGACAGGCTCTCTTTCCAAGCACGCCGGTGTTCATTGGCGAGTACCACGCACCGCACGTTCAAGCGGGCCAGGACGTCCATGAGACAGACTGATCATTGCGAGATTGGGCTCCTTCCAGTGTCGGCTTTGCCGGGTTTGGTGGTAGCTTCTGGTAGTTCCTTGTGAGTGGCTGAACCTACTTGACACCGAGTTCAATGCTCGGATTGCCATCTCTGCGCGCATCCGCCACTGAGCACTGCCGGGCCGAGCTCAAGATGATGCAAGGGCTTGACCGAGAGCAAGGCTTCATAAGGCTTATGAAACGTTGGCTTTGGAGCCTTCTTGCTTCCCCCAACAAGCAAGAGCCTGCCTTGTGAAGGCATTGGTAAAAGCCCAAACTCAGATTTCATCACCGGCTCTCCGATTGTGTTGCGATCAAGATGTCAGCTGGGAGCTGGGAGCCAAGGGCAAAGGCCAAAGGAGGTCCAAGAGTTGTCCAATTTGAATTGGAGGCCTCAAATTCCCACGGCACGGAACTGACTAGACTCTATAATAGTGTGGAAGAGGTTTCTTCTCGTTCTCGGGGTTTTGAAGGTTCCGTCGAAGGTGGGTGGCATGTCAAGAGAAGCTGGGATTTGTTGTTTCTGCCGCTTGGCTTGAATCTTGACCAGACTGGGCAGCTTCAAGCAGAGGACTTGCAGAAGATCATGTCCATCGCCGAGAACTCCAGCTTGGCCCCTCTGCTGCATCACCGTTGGCATGGCTCATCCTCCCGTTTCACTGGCGAAGCTGTGTCTCGAGAACAATTTGCAACTGGCTGCTCCAAATCACTTCCAAGTGGCTACGCGAGCCCTCACATGCGCTCAGGCCTTTAAGAACCACCATGGCCCAATTCTTTCAATTCTTTCAGCTGTGACAGAGCCCCAAAGATTTTTCTCAAGTGCTGGCAAGTGGCTGAGGCAGGGGTGAGCTTCTTCGAGTTTCAGGTGCGCTACGACAAGGGTGGATCTGAGATGCAGTTCGGAATGTGCACGCCTGAGCCGATTTGGCTCACATGAGACGGTAAGGAGAGGTAAGGTGAAGCCGTGCAATAGCTGAACAGGAGGTGATGATTCTGACCCATTCTGAGGTTTGGCCTGGGCGTGCAGAAAATTGCCAGGCCGCAGCTTGTTGTCTGCGTTTGCTGCATCTGCATCTGCGAAATCTGCGTTTGTCTCGCGTGGGTTTGGGGAATGCTGCACGTGGACGCTCGGTGTCAACATCAACCTGGGTCCCAGGTTGACTTCCGTCTTTTTTTTGTTGACTTTTCTATTTTTTTATCTTGCTCGATTGCAGTTTGTTGGACACGGGCGTCTCCGATACTTCCCGTGAAGCTGACCGTCAAGTCAGTCGCATCGCCTGAGTCGTAAACAAGAAAGCCATGAGTCAGAAACCGGGACTCAAGTCGAGTCCTCAAAGCTCATGATCTCGGATGTAGTAGGTGCTTCTCGGAGTTTGAAGGATGAAAAAAATCACTATGGGGTTTAGAGTTTAAAGCCCCCAGAGAAAAAGCCAAAAGACTACAATCTGGGATGTGCAGTTTAGGGTTCGGGTTTGAGGGTTTTGGGTTCGGGTTTTTGGGATTAAGGGTTTCAGGGTTGCTGGGTTTCAAGGTTTCGTGTTTGGGCATGTTTGGGCTTGAGGTTTAAGGTTTGGGCTCTGACGGTTTCAGGGTGTTAGAACATGTGTCATGCACTCCTGCTTCGGACACAAATCTGAACCAACAGTAGTACAAGAGCAAGAAGCCGTCGCACATCCGTTGCAGTCTCCGTATGCTTGAGCATCAGCTGTTGCTTGATCATTGATTCGGTGCTTCCATCCTCTTGCGTAATAAACAAGAATGCGATTTCTTGGTCCGACAGAATCTAAAGTGCCAGCAGAATTTTTATGCTAATTGTTACGAGAGGGATCTCAGGGAGCCGATTTCATCCTTTGCATCATGCTGCCAGCATGGACTTTTTCGGCACGACGTTCCCTGTGTGGTCCCGAACCCGGATCATAGATCTCAACAGAATTGGGATGACATGGGATGACAGCTGTGAACTGCTCTCAGGTGTCTAACTGAAGTGACCGACAAACAGACTGCGGGCGTTTCCGTAGTTGACGAGCTTGCAAAGGCTTTTGGAGGCCTGGCACCCTCAAAGGTACCAAAGGCATTTGTGCACGCATGCATGGTTCACATACACCACAACCAATGACGTTGACCACTTTGAAGTACGACTCTTCGAGAGTTGCTTGGGTATGTACACCGGCGTTGCAAGACTCCGAAGATTGGGTCAAAATGGATTTGAAGTGCCTATGTCAGGCCAAGGCATCAAAGCGAACGACTTGTGCATCATTGATCCGCAGAAGGCTTTCACCTCATCACGCTGAGTTGGGCCATATTGCAGCGTGCCAGGTTCCTATTTCAGAGGATGGTTACCAGGCTGGTGTCTTTGGGCCATGTTGCAAATTTTTACAAATCGGGCAACGCCCCTCTGTGTGCCCGCTAGGGCGGAAGCCCTTGCTTTAGCAATGGATGGGCATGCAGGGCCGCCGACCCGCCCCCGGAGGCCATCATTGGGACCTCCGCGGCCTCCCCGGGCCGGAGCACGTTCAAAAGTATTCCAAAGCAGGAAACGCCACCCATACCTCCGAATCCCGCCTCGCCGCAGCGTTTTTGTGGGATTTTCATGCTCCTTGGGAGGGGCCGATGGCCCCAAGAAGGAGAAGTGGGGGCCCAATGATGCTCATGCTTGGGGGGGGGCCCGGGGGGCTTACAGGGCGAGGAACGGAGCCAATGATGCTCGTGATGCCTCTGTCGGAGGAGGCTTGTGACTTTTTTCCAGCTCGTGCAGCCTGTCTCGTGCACGCGAAGCGTGCGCCCCGCGCGCGCGCGTGCGCGCGCCGTCTGAATGGCCTTGCTGGCGCGCGTGCGCGGCGCGCCCGCGCTTGCATGCCTCTGCCTCCTTGGGGCGTTGCCCGCCCCTGCACGCAGCCCCTTAGAATCTACAGGCCTTGCGGCACGGGCCGGCCTCTGAAAGCTGAAACTCGGGTTTGGGTTTAGGGGTTGGAAAAACTTAAGAAGAAGAGAAAGAAGAAGAAGAAGACAAACAAGAAGAAAAATAAGAGGAAAAGAAAAAGAAGAAAAGGAAGAAGAAGAAGAAGAAGAAGAAGAAGAAGAAGAAGAAGAAGAAGAAGAAGAAGAAGAAGAAGAAGAAGAAGAAGAAGAAGAAGAGAAAGAATAAACAGAAGTAGAAGAAAAGAAAGAACAATAAATAGAAGAAGAAGAAAAGAAGAGAAATAATAATCACAAGAAGAAAGGGTAAAGGAAGAAAAAGAGGACATAAAGAAGTGGAGAAAGAAGAAGAATAAAAGAACAGAAAGAAGAATAACAAGAAGAAAGGGTAAAGGAGGAAAAAGAAGAATAAGAGAAATAATAACAAGAAGAATAGAAGAAGAAACAGAAGAATAATAAAATAAAGAAGAATGAAAAGAAGAAGAAGAAAAGAAAGAAGAAAAGGAATAATAAGAAAACAAAGAAGAATAAGCAGAAGAAGAATAAAAGAAAGAAGAAGAAATATAATAATAATAAAGTAAAAGAAAGAAGAATAACAAGAGGAAGAAGAAGAAAAAGAAGAAGAATAAGAAGAAGAAGAAGAATAAGAAGAAGAAGAATAATAAGAAGAAGAAGATGAAGAAGAAGAATAAGAAGAGAAAGAATGAGAAGGAAAAGAAGAAAAACAAAGAAGAAGACAAGTAAGAAAAAGAGAAGGAATAAGAAAACAAATGAACAGGAAGCAGAAGAGAAGAAAGAACAGGCAGCGACAGCCGAAACCCTAAATATGATCCTCTGTGTGGGCGTGCGCGTGCGCGCGCGCGCGCGCGCGTGCGCGTGCGCGTGCGCATGCGCGTGCGCGTGCGCGTGCGCGTGCGGGTGCGCGTGCGCGTGCGCGTGCGCGTGCACGTGCGTGTGCGCGTGCGCGTGCGCGTGCGCGTGCTCGTGCGCGTGCGCGTGTACGTGTACGTGTACGTGTACGTGTACGTGTACGTGTACGTGTACGTGTACGTGTACGTGTACGTGTACGTGCGTGCGTGCGCGCGCAACAGCATCGCGAGCATCATGAACATCAGCGCCTGGGCCTGTATGCGAACAGGTGGCTAGACTCTTTTTTGGATGCCTTTCGCCCACCCCCACCCCTCCAGGGCTTCGGGGAGCCGTCCTTGGAGCAGCGCCAACCCACGCGACGTGGGCGCGGTTGGTGCTGCGTGCATACACGGCAGCCACATAAGTTTTTGAACAGTTTTTCGCGCAACACGCAAAAAACACGGTATCGGTATTTACCACGTTTTAGGCCCCTCGGACCCCCCCCCCCAAGCGAGCATCATGAGCATCAGCGAGGCTCTCATGAGCATCAGCGAGGCTCCGGAGCCGGGACAAGAGGGCCCCGGAGAAATGAGTGGGTGCGTATCGCGGGCGTCGGCTGACCCCCCCGAAGCCTCGGGTGTCAATGATGCTCACCGTGGGGGCGCGGCAGTGCCCCGAAAGGAGGTGTGTCTCGAAACACGCGAAAAACACGGCATTTACGGTGTTTTCTGGCTTTGTTGAGGCGCCCGGGCCCTCCCGTGGGTTCGAGGGCGGGTCGCTGATGCTCATGATGCTCGCCCCTGTTGGGTGGGGGTACCCCCCCAAAACTTGAGGTATAAGGTCTCTTTTCGCATGTTCGCCCAAGGTCAAAAAGCAGGGTCGATGATGCGCGCCGGGTCACGCATCATGAGCCCTCCAGGGCGTTTGGCGGCCCTCCAAAAACGCAAAAAACATGGTATTTACGATGTTTTCGGCACTTCCACGCATGCGCGTTTGGGACCCCGCTCGGAGCCCTCCCGGAGCTCCACCCGGAGCCTCATGCAAGGAGACATGCCATTTTCAGGGCGGGTCGGCGGCACTGGCGGCGCCCGCAGAAAGGCAAACCCTTAGGCTAGCCGTGCTCCGCACTGGACCACGACGGCCAGGCCGGATTAAAGGCTGCCGCCAGTGCCGCCGACCCCCCACGGCGTGGCATGCGGGTCTGTTGTTTCAAGCGGCCAACGTCAGGCTGGTTGCTCAAGGCATCTCGAGGCCTTAGTCGGCCGAGCCGCTTGGTGGTCGTGCTGGGGGCAGCATAGAACATGATTCAACAAAGAAAATCAGAAGGAAGGGGGGTGTGGAGATGTGGTGCTGGCATGTGCTGGCGGTGAGACGCAGAGGGGGGGGGGAAAAGCAGAAGGGGGTGCTGCGGTGGGCGCGGTTGGCCGGGCGGCTGGTGGGGGCGGGTGGGGGCGGGGGGGCGGGTGGGGGGGGGGGGTAGAACATGATTCAGCAAAGAAAAGCAGAAGGAAGGGGGCGGGGTGTGGAGATGTGGTGCCGGGCAAGGAGCCCCTCCTAGCGCCGACCCGGCGGGGGGCGGCGGATTCTTACATTGCAGAAGTTTGTTCACAAGCTCCTGAGCCGAGGCGGTGTTGTCTTTGAAAGATGTCCAGAAAATGGCTTCGTTCGTGAAGCGTGTGGTGGGGCACATGGGAGGACGGGCATGGCCTTTGGGTTCTTTCGCTTTTTCCACAGCTGTGTGATGCTGTGCCATGAGGTACTGTGTCAAATCAACAAGAGCTGCAAAGCTTTGCCCAGAGGCTGCCAAGATGCCTTGCAGGAGTAACGGCAGAAGGTGCTTGTGCTGGGTCATGCTGGGTGTTCAGATGTGTTCAGGTACACAGGTGCTGCAAGAGTTGCAGCGGCATCCCCCTGAGACCAGCAATGATAACCCTAGGCCGTGACAAGAGACTCCGGCAAGGAACCGCATTTACTCAGGTGCGTGCGCACCGTGCGCGATCCTTGGTGGGAAACCTCAGCTTCGCCTCAATGGCCTCGGACCTCGGCACGGAACCCAGAAAGAATGTCCCAAAAATGAGCAGAAACGAAGAGAATCCCTTCCTTCGTCTTTCGGGTGTTTGATTTCTTTGCTGGTCCAAGCTGCATGTCCCTCCTCTTGCCCTCCTTTGCTGGCTCTGCCTTGTGATCCCTTGCCCTCCTTTACCTCTGTCGCTGTGCTCCCTTCCAGGTCAGCATCCTTCTTGGATCAATTGGGATGCGCCCACCCTAGAATCGTGTTGCATCATGTTGCAACCTTTCTGAAGCCCAGCTTCCATTTCGTTGGCAGTCCAGTCTTGCCATGTCTTCCCTTCAGAAGTTGCTCCGTCTTTTGTTCCTTTACATCAGACGAAGTGCAATTATGGAACGGTTGGAGATGCTGGGAGGGCTAGGACTCCCACAGGCTTACACAGCATGATAGTGCATGCTTCCTGGGGGCATAGGCATAGAATTCAAAGGCCGCAGGAAGTGAGGGTACCATACCATACTCAGCTTTCTGGCAGTATCCAACGTTGTCTCCGCAAGTGACCAGCAGCTGAAAAGAAAAGCGCCGGAGATGTTCGGACACACGCAAATCCAACCGAGTAATGTAGGCCTCTGCTACTTACTACAGTAGTTTCCTTTTCGGCATAGACAGGTGATGGCCGCCTGTGTTGCTGATCGGTCATCGGATAGTGGCAGCGTGGGCCAGGCAGGTGCTTTCACAACGATTGCGCTCACGCAGATGATCCAACATGGTAGCAAGTTCCAAAGATGCTTGACAGGCAATCAGCTACGCTTGCAGCAAGCTTCAATCCTTCAACTGTTCCAACTTGCCAGCCACCTGTCAGGCAGCCATTGCAGTTTGCTGTCATCGTGAAAACCCCACAGACTTGAAGCACCTGATCAGGACATCTGGTTGAAGGCAGACTATGCGACGCTCCTAGAGCATCTTGCATCATGAGAGTCCAACAGCTGACAGTCCACTCACCGCAAAGCCAAGGTGCTAAGTTTGTTTTACTTGCGCCAGGCTCACCTTGGCACCAATTCTGGAACCGGCAGCATCTTTGTATATCTTCGCCACTTCTGCCTTCCTGTGTTTTCTGCAGGCATCCGGCAACCTGCCGTTGCAAGATTGCAACTTCGATGGGGCCGCCAGGTGCTAAGCACATCTAAGCACAACAATGCGCAACCGATTCGCCGGCATGGTCTTGGAGTACCTGTGTCAAATGTAGACATGTAGTTGTATAAGCATGTAAACAGGCAAATTTGAACTGGGAAGCGAGTGCGATCTGCTTTGCCGAGGCCATGTTTGCCCCGGCATCGACGTACCGAGGAGTCGCGGGGGAGCCCGGACATCTCGAGAGAGAGGGAGGTCTCTCTTGGAAGATCTCTGCTGTGCGCATCCTTGGAAAAGAACTCTGGCGAATTTAGCCTTGGGAGAGAACGCAAGTTAAAAGAGCACCAGCTGCTTTTGTTATGCTTGCCGCATCTTGCCTTTTGCATCTTGCCTTTTGCATGGTGCTCGCTTCCCGCAGGAGGATCTTGCTCGAAACGTGCATGCGTAACTGGAGAATCTGGAAAATATTGTCAGGTTCTCAAGGCTTCCTGGCCGCCATGAGCTTTTTGAGAGACTTCTTCCGCGTGTTGGAGCTGTCGGACGATGAGCCGGATGAACATGAGCCTGAAAGGAAGAAGCGGCGCACCGGGCACAGTGCGGAAACTGTGGCGAGCAGTTCTGCAGACGTCCCAGTGCATTTGGCGAATGGTGGAGCTGGAGATGGCACACAAGTCACGCAAGAAGACGACGTGCGCGCAGAGAGCCGACGTTTCGCAGACAGTGGTTCTGCATGTGAACGCTTTCACCCTGCTTTGTACTTCAACAAGCTCATGGACTGTCCATACACTTGCAGCGCCTTGGAAGCAGGGAACAGAGGGCAGACGTTGTGAACCGGCCACCATGTTCGTGACAGCATTTATGGTTTGTGTGTCTCATCAACGGTGGTTGAACCTAGAATCAGATGCTGCGCTTGTCATACCTGTAGTTTGCAGCATGTTTCTCTGCGTTTCGGGTGTCACTCGATGTGCAAGGGTGTTTCAGAACCGTACTGGCCAGGTGATGATCTGACGTTGAAGGACATCTTCGAAAATCCCCCGCTGGGCAACGAGTTGGCCACACATGTTGTGCTTGTCAATTTCATGATCGATCTTCCATGGCTGTGTCAGCAATGTCCAAGTCTCCTACGTGTTCCACGCTTGTCTGTTCTGTACGGGGATGGAGGGGAAGCCTGCAGGCAAGTAGAGAAGCAACGGACGAGCATGGGTTTGCTCACTTCGTTGCATTCTCCAGCCTTGCCCTTGCAGTGGGGTACGCATCACAGCAAGATCGTACTTTTGCTGTACAAGAACTGCCTTAGAGTTTGCATCCGCACCTTCAACGACATCTTCGCGGACGTATATGACAAGTCCAACGCTATGTTTATACAAGATTTTCCAGAGATCCAGGACCGTGTTGGTTCCGACGATGAATTTGGACGTGACTTCCTACTAGAACTTGAGAAGTACTTCAAGGCATGCGGAGGCTTTGACCCTGCAGCACTACATGCGTATGACTTCTCTACTGCAGCTGTCGCCATTGTGTCCTCTGTGCCTGGTTACCATACATCAGGACAACTGCACGCATGGGGTCATCTGCGCTTGCGCAAGCTGCTGGGTCAGCATTCTCAAGGGTCGCAGCGCTTGGGTCTAGATGACGGTATTATTTGTCAGGCCAGCTCTTTTGGAGCACTGTCCAAGAAGTGGATGGAGGAGTTCTGCGTGACTCTGTCGACAACAGCTACAGCTGACGGAAAGCTCCTCAAGCATAAGCAACCCACAGTCACCTTCGTCGCTCCTACCGTCGGACAAGTTCGGGACAGCACGGAGGGATGGGTGTCCAGCGCCTCCTTGTTCATCAAGCGAGCAACTGTATCTGCTTGGCCCGCACTTTGGCGACGCTGGGGGCCCAAGAGCCAGGGCAGAGACGTGCGAGATTTGCGGTTGAAGCATCGGGCCATGGCAATGCCCCATTTGAAGACATTGTGTCGATATGTCACTTTCGACGGCAACGATGGAGACGCTGCCTTGAGTTGGCTTTATGTTGGATCGCACAACATGAGCAAGTCAGCATGGGGTGAAGTGCAGAAGGGCGGTTCACAAATTTGTGTCCGCTCTTATGAGATGGGTGTCATGTATTTTCCATCGCGTTTGTCGACTCTTAAGCAGGACATGTCGAGAGGTGGTTTCTTTTTGCAGCCAGTCTGCCCAGAAGCCCACATTGGAGCCGTGTTCGTGCCCGTTGCATGGAGCTCTGCGCAAGCTGTGATCTCCGGAAGAGGCATGCGAGCATTGCCGATGGTGTTTCCCATTGCCATCCCACCTGCACCTCCACCTACTGCTGACGATCCAACTTGGTCTCGGGACTTGGCCGCTGAAGCGTATGCAGGGCTGGATCGCTTTGGCACTCGCTTCGGAGAACGAGGCCCAGAGTTCTATGGCCATCGGGCAGTCGTGCAACGAGCAAAAGAATCGGTAGGTAGGCAGTTGGTTCTGTAAACGCATTGGAGTAGATCGGACATGGTGCCTGGTACTCGGAGCCCCCCCCGCCAACAAGGATGCGAGGTGTGTCATCACGAAGGACGGCGCCTGGTCGGTCGTGGTGTTTTTATGTGTTTTTGGTGTTTCCTAGGTGAGGGGCGTGCATTGCGTGCATGAGCCACAGGATGCTGGCACCACGGCTCTCACAGAGGAAGGCTACCAAACGGTGCTCAGCAGCAACAGCACCGGTGAGGTGCCAGACCGAGCCACCTCAAGAGAGTTCTTGTGTAACTGCGGTTCTAAGCAACGAACTGCCACCCCAAAGGCCTCGGAATCGGACAATGGAGATTTTTTATTCTTTTCTTGGGATCAGTTTCGTCGTCTGGGCAAGTTGTGGCATGCCCGAAGCTGTATTTGCCAGATCGTTACCTTCATCGGCCGAGAAGTTGTGGAACAGAACATGCAGGCGCACCTCATGGGCATTTGAGGAGTTCTGCGACGTTGACGTTTCTGATGCAGGTGACTGACAAGGCTGCTCTTGCTGCCTATGCAGCTCATCCACCAGCCAGCTTTGACAAGCTGCAGGAGGGCCACGAGCCCTTGCACACAAGAGACACTTCTCTCTCAGTTTTGCGACACTTTGCTGTAGGATGAACTTTCGCAATTACCATGGGTATGTGGTGGTTCTTCTGGGAGGAATTGCCTGGAGCTCAGTGGCAAATGGCAGGTGAGTTGCGAGAAAACTTAACTTCGCATATTGGTACCTGGTAGCATGATGGACTTGTAGGCCCTGGCAAGAATCAATCCTCCCTTTGGGAGATAGGCTCGCGCTGCTTGCACATGGCCGAAGTACTTGGAGATTACTTGGCTCACTGCACTTATTACCGCTCTGACTGGTGTGTCCTTGCCTCTTGATCCAGCTCGCTTGCCGAAAGCTCGCATGTGACAACACTCAGATCCAAGAATCGAGCCCCAGACAACCAAGCGCACATCAGCATTCCCGAAGTGGAAGATACGAAGATGGTGGAAGAAGTGTTGTGCTTGCCCGTAGCGCATAATGGGACATGCATGATACATGGGACGTGATGGGCATGTTCTGGCCCTTGAGTGTGGCACTCAGACAGGGCCCACTCGTGGCCGTTGCACCATGCCCCCCCCCCTCCCCCACCGTAGGCCATGAGGCCACAAGCCCTACCACAGGCTTATGCAGGCATTCGGGCCCGCCGTACTCGCACTAGAAGGCCCATTACATGGACGACGACGACGACGACGACGACGACGACGACGACGACGACCACCACGACCACCACCAGCACCACCACCACCACCGACACCGCCACCGCCACCGCCACCGCCACCGCCGCCGCCGCCGCCACCACCACCGCCGCTACCGCCGCCACCACCACCACCACCGCCACCGCCGCCACCACCGCCACCTCCGCCACCGCCGCCACTGCCGCCACTGCTGCCGCCACCGCCGCGGCCACCGCTGCGGCCCGCCGCGGCCACCGCCGCTGCCACCCGCCGCCAAAACAAGCCAGCCGCCGCCACCGCCATCCGCCACCCTAGCCGGCACCGCCCGCCACCACCGCCGCCACCGACCGCCCGCCACCACCTGCCGTCCCCACCGCCCTCCACACCTCCCCCACCACCGCGCCACCACCCACCGCCTCCCCACCTCCTCACCACCTGTCCGTCACAGAGTACCGCCAGCCCCCACGTCTCCACCACCTCCTCGCACACCAGCCCACCACCTCTCCCCCCTTCTCCACCCCCCTCCACACACCCTCCCGCCACTTCGCACCAACCCTCCACACCACCACCGTCCACCCCTGCGCTGCCTGCCTCCCACCACCTCCCCCAAAGCCCCCCCAGCCAACCGTGCCCCTTTTCCACCCGCCCCGCACCACACACACCCCCCTTCCCCCCTCTCGCCACCGCCACCGCCACCGCCACCGCCACCGCCACCGCCACCGCCACCGCCACCGCCACCGCCACCGCCACCGCCACCGCCACCACCACTCCTACCCACGTGTCTGCGAGCTGTGCTAGGGGCCGATGTTAACTTGGACAGTGTCGATTGCCGACCCAGGCCAGTGGTGAAGCAGGTGCTTCGTCAGCCAGACCAAAAGGCACGGTTTAGCGAGCAGCCTGCTTTCATGCCCAGGAAGGCAGAGAATCTCGCGAGGCCGTGCAAGAACTGGGTCAGTCGCTCAGAAGCCATACAGTTGCCACGGAAGCAGACCAATTGCACATGCATTGAGGTTCGCATCAGCTGGCCTTGTCACCTTCGCTTCAGTTAGATCGCGTGCAGGCACCCTTTTTTTGATTCGCTCTCAAAGACGGAAAATAGGTGAAGTGTTTTAGCCTGATCTAAGCGCTGCAAGAATTGAATGTGAATGTTGCGCACCAAACGCGATAGCCATGAAAACAACTGCATGCTTGATCTCGATGCTGAGGAAAAGCTAGCGTGATTAGACTTGTCACAGATTTGGAGGTCTTCCAAGAGTTGGGCTCTCTGCATGATGCGCTCGAGAGGCCCAATCTGCATTTCCTGCAGCATTGCAAATTTCGTCCTTGGGGTCTTCGCTCATGTTCGCTCTTCATCGCTCTTCGCTCCTTTCAGAGGCCGAGGCCGGCTGCCTACGAGGAGAACAGTTCACAAAGAGCCAAACGAACCGAAAGAGATGACATGATCACAGGAAGAGTTCCGCTCTGGGAAGATGTCAAGCCTAAAGTGAGCCCATGAGCCCAAGGGGCTGAGCAGTGTCCTCGTGTCCTTGAGTCCTAGAGCGCAGCGGTGCAAGGACAGCTTGTGGCGCGACAACCGCCGACTGCGCGGTGAGGCTTTCGTACACGAAATGAAGGTAACGCATAACATCCACAGATTTCTACAGTTCATTGGCAAAGGTCCAGGCCTGGAAAGATGAAGCTGCGGCTCGCCATCGAGAAACGGCGGAGCTTCGCCTGGAGGCGTGTGTCACGCAATTTGGGTGACACCATCCTTTTTACCAACTCTTTTAGCAAATGTATTTCGAATATCGTCTGGACTTCACAGGTGGCACAGCTTCAAGCTGAATTGCAGGACCAGAGCTCTTGTGGTTTCTCTCTAGACAGCTGCAAGCTGTCACGTTGACAAGGCCGAACGATCAAGGTCGCAGGAGCTCTTGGTTCAACTGGAGGTCGGCGAAAGGGATTGCTCAGCATGACGAATCTGCGAACCCTGCTACTCCGCTGGACAGACAATCTCAGTGCTTGCAGAACATGGAAAGGTGATGTAGAGTTTGGCGGCATATTCGGTTTCCTACGAAACGCCGCATCACAAGCTCGGCCACTCTCGAGCAGGTCCTTGTTGGTCGGCGAGACTTGGCCATCGAGGCGAGATGAATCGGGATGTTGTAGGATCCTTGCAGTTGTGGTTTGACGCCTCTATGGCCTTCAAGGCCTTGAAGATTGGTGACATTTCGTGATGCCACTTGATGCCGCATGCTCTTGAACCTGCACCTGCTCGCCTTCAGACGCTGAGGGATGCCCTTCGTCATCATCGAGTCGTTTTCGAGCTGAAGGCGGCCTTTTGGCAATTTGGGTCCTGTGCATGTCTGTGCGGCACCGCTATGCACGGCTCTAGCTGACCTCGGTCTTGTTGCCATGCAGCACCATGCAACCCTTTTGTTGCTTGTGTGAGGCATCTAAGGTAAGCTCAACGAGCAGCATGAACGGGTGGGAGGGTATCGTACATGCCGTTGCTTTTGGTTCCATCTAAATCATGTAGTTTGCTGGTGTCCTGTTTCAGTCAGTCGGCCAGGTCTGGTAGACTGGCGTGCCAAGCGGCCCTTTGGCTCGGCATGGGAGACTACGCCAATCTTCCCAGCATGTTAATCGGTATGTCGTTGTTGCCGATACTTCATATGTGATATTGTTGGGTTCTTAGTATCTTCGCTGATCTTGGAGATGCTCTCACAATCTGGCATCTCTCAGGTCAGCTGCTCTTGCGGATTGCGAGGCAAAGCCCAGCGACGCGTCCAACACACACGGCAGCGGCCTTAAAGTTTGCCTCAAGGCGGCCTTACAGATCTTTCCACAAGCCAAGAGTCCCCTATTGCGAAGCAATGGACGAGAAAGGTACAGCGTAGCGCTCTGAAGTTTCTTGCTTGGTTGTGTCAAGAGTTGGGCTGCTCTGCATAGTTGCTGTGTTGAAAGAAGGCTTGCGTCTACGAATCCAGGTTGACGGATGTGTTTTTAGAGCTTTTCTTTATTCAGGGAGCTTCATACTTGGGGACTTTGAAAAAGCACACTATGCACTCTTTGCGTTTTGGCCCCCCCCCACCAGCCTTTCTTGCTTGGAGATTCTTGCCTCCTCTTCACCACGCTCTCACAGATATGCAGCATCCGCACCCTGCCTTCCTGGACACCATTGGACACCTGTCGCAATCAATCATGAATCAGGGGCCCCCCCGTTAAGAAAACTCCCGTGAGTAAAGGCACTATACCTTGTTGCTCTTTGAAGTTTTCATCAAATTCATGAATGAAACTGGGAACGCTGGAATTTCCGCGATTTGGAGCACTGTCAAAGAAGCGAAAGCACATAAATACGGTGATTTTCGTTTTTTGGCGCGATGATTCTAATTATCCAGGAGCGCGAAACGCGGAAAACTCGTCAAGTTATAGTATTTGAAGCCTGTGAATCGCGGACGGAGGTGTCGAGCCAGACCTAGGAAACAAGACCTGGGCAAATAAAACACCTTCCCCCTGCCCAACAAATGTCATATGGACAATTGATTCGATGGATTTGTAGGGACGTATCTTGGCCCTCTTTCACAAACCCGTTGCAACCCTGATCCTTTCGAGACCACGGACCCGCATGGAAAAACCTATCCTATCAGCGGACTTCTATGGCTCTATGGACCTCCTCTAGGCCCTCTAGGCCCCCCGCTACCGGTTTGACCAAGGTCGTGTCTCCATGGGTCTGGCGGCCATGCCTGGCTCCAAGCTTGCTATTGCTGCTAGTACTTCAGGATTGTTGAAGCAATCTGAGCAGATGCCGCTTTGCCGTGTAGTTGAGCACAAGTATGCACAAGTGATGACCTGGAGGAAGGGTCGTCTGTGATAGGATATGCGACAATCTGAGCCTTCAGCAAAGTTTGAGTGTCGACTGATGTTGATTGTCGTCTAAAGCCAACAGGGCTGCACGTCATGCCGGCGAAGTAGCCGAGCTGCAGTTGCAACACACATCGGCGCTGCAGGCCCTCTATATCTCGCGTGCGTGAAAGCGTGTTGTGCATCAAGGGCAAACTTGTGTGACTTATGTGCCATGGTGTCCTCGAAGGAACTTCAAGGAAGAGCAGACGTTTCGCTCGGCCGAGCACGTCTGGCAGAGGTCTGGCAGACCTTTACACTCATCTGCATTCATCTGCGCTCTTCTGCACTCCCAAGATCTCCCAAGCCTTCAGACAGGTTCGGTGCGCAAGTTTGGAAGAGAAACAGGCTGGATCCATCTCCGCAGGACGCAGCCACATACTTGTAGTTGAAAACGCTGAACGCGCGTGTTTCACCTTGGGGTTCTCATGAAAGGTGCGCTGTTTCGCCATGATGGCGCACCAGCTGGAGGCCATCTGCAGTCCATTTGCCTTCTTGTCTTGCGACCATTCTTGCGACCATTCTTGCGACCATTCTTGCGACCATTTTTGCGACCATTCTTGCGACCATTCTGATTGGTGCAGCGTGGACCAGTGTGCAACCTGCTGTGAGGTTCAGACTTGTGCGGATGCTTTCGTTGCCTGGAAGAACGACCCTCGGCAGACCAATAGCAAACCTTTGAACCAGAACCAGACAGGTTAGTTGCGATTAGTTTACGTCAGCGAGAACCCCGAATTGTGGAATATGAAGCCTCTGGACAAACATCGCACTTCGGCGGTTTTTGGGCTGCCCTGTTGGCCTCGTCCGTGCAGGTGTCACTATATTCTGTCACTACCTTATTACTTCCGGTTTAACGTGGTTGGGGCAAGGTTTGTAAGGCCGTCAGTATTTTGCCATGAGTCAGGCGATCTCGAGATCAGAAGATGTTACTTCCAAAAACACGTAAAATCTGAACGTCGAGTTGGCTGGACACCCACCATCGCCGCTGTCGGACACGCGGACACAGATCTATCTACATCTCAGATCACGCCACGTTCACAACAAATTCAGCTGACACGTCAGCACAGTGTGACTCACGAAGGAAGACCAAGAAAGACTCAGAAAAAGCAATGTCTACACAGGTTCTGCTCATATGTGAGGGCCGCGGTCGAAACTGCATCAGGCATGCCGGTCAGCGAGGACCCTTCGACAAACAAAGGTGTGCATGGCATCCGTGAGACCCTCAGCGGCCTTAGCGTCTGACAGTTTGCCCCACTTGTCCCAGCTTGTCCCAGCTTGTCCCAGCTTGTCCCAGCGTGGTTGCACCCGATGTGCTCCGATGTGCTCCGATGTGCTCCGATGTGCTCCGATGTGCTCCGCAGGTCCTGCTACGCGCCTTCGAGCAGCGCGAGGTGGGCCACTGGGCCACAAGTTCAACAAGTGTTACATCTGATTTTCCCCGTCTGAATGGCATTTTTTTGCGTGCAGTCGTTTCCTGGCATGGTCCTTCACAGCTGGGCGGCTGTCTTCGCCTTGGGCTGCTTTGGGGTCTTCGCATTCATTTGGTTGATTTGGTTTGGTTGTGTTTGATTGGTTTTTGGTTTTGTTTGGATCTGGCTGGAGGTTTGCCTCGCCGAGCGTGCGCAGCGGAGGCGAAACGAGATGGAGGCTTCAAGTGCAGATGTATAGCATCAGTGAAGTCAAGGCGCCCATCGAGCTGGCAGCTCCTTCCATGTCTCAACTTATCCTCCAGATTGCTCTTCCTGTCGGCCCTTTCAGGCGGAGCTTTCGATTCGTGAGTCTGTGTGGTCGACTTGGAGTTTCACAAAGTGTGCAACGAGTGTGGCCTTAACACCTCGTCAGACGTGCCAAAGCAGATGCTGTCCTGATGCGCCAAGGCATCAGTCACGACTGTCCTGGCTAATGTCTTGCCGCACATCATCCGAGCTGCAGGCAGAAAACCCGCTTCCCGATGAAGCGCTGCGAGCCTGACCTGCGCAGGCTGGTGCCAAAGTGCTCTTTCTCTCTTGGAGATGTGTGGTGGCAGCCTTGCCCGCTTTCCGAACCCAACCGCTCCCACTGTTGCCTGGTTGCTGAGGCATTGTCCGCTGGCTCCAGCGGCTTGCATGTGCGACTACGCCTTGAAGAGGTGCCAATCCTTACAGAAGCACGCAGAAGCGTGCATTACAGCCAACTACAGCTGCAAGGATGCTGCTTGCAGGCTCGTCGAATTTCTGCGCAACGATATCTGTTGCAGTCAGATCCTTGGACATCTTGCAAGACTGCCAGCGCAAGCTAGCATGATCTAGCATGTGTGCCTAGGCAAAGGGAACGCCATGGCTCCCAGTTCACCGTGCAAGATGTTCTTGGGGCTTGGTCGCAGGAGGCCGCTGAGTTGGGCATGTTTCTTTTTTTTTTTGTGTGTGTGTGGTTTGTAGTCCAGAAAACAATGGGCCAGGTGCTGGTCAGACGCCATCACAAGGTGTTGCAGCAATCCAACTTGGCTCGGGCCGGAAACCCAGATATCTCCAGATGGAGACCCCAAGTTGCGGAGTGTTATCTAAGTTATCTACATTGCCTCCTGCTTTTTTTGTCTCGGGCAGCTCGGAGAGCACAACCATCACAACGCAACGAGGGGGTGCGTTCACGTACCGTAGAGAGGCTTCGAACCTGACAGTCACGCAGCTCGCCACGGGTTGCTGTTGGTGACTGCCTTTGTGGCCAGAAACTTCGGCCAGATTCTGCAGATTCTCTGGACCATCTTCTGTTTTCTGTTTTTGCGCTTCTGTGAGGATCCAAGTCGGACATGTCCCCGAGTACAGGTTTGGCTCCCTTTGAGTGGTGGGCATGCCCGCACATCACTGAGTGCTAATCATCACCCGACCCTGCCAAACGCACCCTAAAATCATGCAAAGCCTTAAGCTCCAGAACCCTCAACCACAATTGTGTTTTACAGCTGTGTTTTCAAGAGCTGATCTGCACGAAGATCTGGATTGCCTGTCCTCAGCTTCTTAGATCAGCCTGGCCTAGGTGCAGCATGCTCAAGTGTCCAAGTCTCTCTCCTTGAAATGGCTCGCTTTGCTTCAAAGCTCAAAGGAGGACGGTGCCGCAATGTGCCGCAGTCCTGCTGAAATGACCTGGCCCTGACGTTGATCTGAGTTGATCTGAGTTGTTCCTGTGTCAGGATGCCCTGCTGTCTCGCGCCTTCTTGGCAATGCACCTGGAGACGCGAGAACGCGTCCAGGAGGCACGTCGGAACCAACGGATAAGCGAGTAAACAAAGGATTGATTACAGCAGGACAGGAAGTCTCCGTAGAGCTTGGGGAAGAGTGTTGCGTAATCTTCGCTGCGAGAAAAAACAATCTGGTCAGGCCCGCTCAAGGGCCTTGAGTGCACAGCAAACATCCGAATTGGTTTCGTGTCGGAGCCTGAAGCGATGCTCGCCCTATGTCAAGTTTGTAGTTGTGGCCTTGGTTGCAGTCTTGAGGTGCAAACAGCAGAGCCATCCAGGCTGTGAGGGCCCCATGTTGCTGCATGATCGTCATCCGACATCTGCGGCATCTGTCATAACCTGCACTTGCGCCTGGAATCATGCTCGATTGTTGCGATTGACTAGCGACCAAACGGTCCTTGGAACATGTGCACGATGCGACATGCTAAGCCAATGAGCCAATGCCAGTCCACAGTGAACAAATTGGTTTGTGTCCAGAACAGTCGTTCCATCTCGCTAGTAGGTGCATGCCAAGGACAACAAGAGGTCCACAGCATGGATGGTACGTGCACGCCAGTTTGCGCAGAATGTGGTCGAGGAAAGCACTTGCGAGGTCTAGAGTCTAGACCCGTCTCGCAAGTGGTAGTCGCACGCCGTACAAAGTTAAAAGCTGTCCCTCGAAAGCCAGATGTTCCAGCATAGAATGTGTAAAAACTCTACACAGCAGCCTACAGCACCTTCTTGGACTGCTGATCATCCGCAAGCATGGCCTGATTCCACTATCCAACAATACTTGAGACCAGAAAGGTCTTACTGGCGATGGACAGAAGCGGGCTTTCGCTCCAAAAAAGTGTCTGGTTCTCGGTGCATCCGCACTGAGCGTTGTCCAGCTGGAGGATTGATCTGAGAGTTCGAGTACTCGGAATGCTCTCAGAGGCCTTCTCAGAGTGGCGCGCCACAGTCCATGCTGGCAAGACAACCCGAAGTCTTGAGGCGGAGCTTGAAGCTGCAGTCGGGGCATGGGGAGTGTGACACTTTGGCAGATGCATCAGCGGACGGCCGCAGTGCTGCAGCGCCGCTTCGAGTGTATTGTGACTGGGCTCTCAAGCCGTTCTGTGGCGCTGCTCCGCACTCAGCACGACGCATACGATGCCATTGCAACACAGTCTGCAGTTTTTACAGACTCGCAAGGAGAAAGCTGAGTCAAGCCTTGTTAGCTTGGGCTCGTGCTGCACGCCAGCGTGCCTTGGACAACTTGCGAGTTGACGAGAGGGCTCATCGCTGAGCTTCCAGCATCTGTCAGCCATGTCCTGCGCTGCCACACGGAGTGTTTGATTGTGATGCAGCGGATGTTCGCAGCGAGGCGAGCTAAGTGCGGTTGTTGAGGCACAGTTCTGTGCCTGGCGTCTGCGCTTCATTGAGTCGTCGATATGCTGGCAGGGCAAGGAGTTTTTGCCGCTCTGGCAAGTCGAATCGTGTAGTTGCGCCTGATTCCTGCGCATTCCGGCAGGATTTCGATGCCCTCCTCGTGTTCCACACGTGGCAGGTCCCATACCAAAATAGAGAGAGGGAGAGATCACGAGTCAGGACGACGAAGGGAACGTGAAGCAGAAGCAGAAGAAGAAGAATCAGAAGAAACAGAAGAAGAAGAAGAAAAAGGAGAAGAAGAAGAAGAAGAAGGAGAAGGAGAAGAAGAAGCAGAAGAAGAAGAATAATAAACAAACCACGGGAGAAGCAACAGCGTCTACAAGCCACGTTGGGGCAGAACAACATGAAGGGCTGGAAGAACCAGAACAGCAAGGGGGACATGGAGACGAGAACACAAGCCAAGCCGACAGTGGAAGCGAGATGGCCAAGGTACGTAGTGTAACGAACCTTTCGAACCAAGCATTTGGCCGTCGGGGCCCCTTCGCCGGGTAGAAGAAGAAGAAGAAGAAGAAGAAGAAGAAGAAGAAGAAGAAGAAGAAGAAGAAGAAGAAGAAGAAGAAGAAGAAGAAGAAGAAGAAGAAGAAGAAGAAGAAGAAGAAGAAGAAGAAGAAGAAGAAGAAGAAGAAGATCGCGAGTCACCAGTCTCGCGCGAACTGTGTGGGGGGTTTTTCCCCCCCATGCCCCATCAAAGAACAGAGAGAGAGAGAGAGAGAGATAGGGGTTGCTTCTGGGGGGTTGTTGCTGCATACTCGGGGGAAACCACACCTCGCGATGAAAAGGGGGCCACGAAAACCGTGGCCCTTCCAAACCAACAGACCCGTGGACGTCGCGCGCCCCTCGGGGCAGCCTCCCCTCTGGGGGGGCTAAGCGTGCAGGAGAGAGAGAGAGAGAGAGAGGAGGTGATCAGACGGACCCTCGGACATCACGCGCCCCTCGGGGCGGCCTTCCTTTCGGGGGGGGCTATGCGTGCAGGAGAGAGAGAGAGAGAGAGAGAGAGAGAGAGAGAGGAGGTGATGCTCGACCCGGAGGGGCCCTCAACGAGAAATGATACCAACGCCAACGAGAGCACCGGTAGACCTCCACACCAACCACCTCGCCCAGCCGCACCACAGAATTCACCAGCACTGGGGGGTGGACATCGTATGTCTCCGCGGCAACGAATCACTGCTTCGACGACAACGTGGGAGACCATACACCGAGATGCCCGACACCCGGTACAGACCTCCCAGATCGAACACCACAGAAGGGGCATGCGAGCCTATCCAGCGGGGGCCCAACCTACAACCATGACCTCCAGGAGACGAGAAATGAGAGGACCATATGAAACACCATCGGCCTCTTCACGACAGATTCCCCCAAGAGCTCGAGGGAAAGGCCGGGGACAAGGGAAGACAACCACGACAACGGCGACGACTACACCCACAAGAGCCACCTACGGGGGATCATGTGAAAGACCATCGACCCCCAAGAAGAACACCCAGCAGGAAAGGCCGCCAATCCCAAGGAAAAGAAAGCTGGGGAAGACTGGGGGCACCAGTGGAAACCGAGAGAACCTGGGAGCACAAGTCGCCCGCCTGGCGGCAAAAGGGACAGCCAAAGGGGGCTACAACGACAGCTTCGACTACTGAGCTAGCCAGGACGTGAGTTGGGTGCCAATTAGGGGGAACAAAGCTTCACCACACCTTTAAGTCAACATTCGAGAGGGACATCATAACATTCATCCCACTTGCCGAACTGCAGGGGGATGTACCCAACCTTTCCAGCCCCTCTGCCACATAGTAGAGGGCCGTTGATAGACTCCGTGGACAATCAGCCACCTTTACACCTTTACACCTTTACATTTTCCTTGGCCTGGGGCACAATTCAGGGCGGTACCATGGTTCCAACACTAAGAAAGGCACCCTGGGGGGGAAAACCAACAGAGTCCCCCAGGTGCATGTTTTTCCCCAGCTGCCAATCGTCTTCTTTACCCTCCCGTCAATAAGATGGGAATTTCAGACCTTGGACATCACGCGCCCCTGGGGGCGGCCTCCTCTTTCGGGGGGAGGCCATGCGTGCAGGAGAGAGAGAGAGAGAGAGAGAGAGAGAGAGAGAGAGAGAGAGAGAGAGAGAGAGAGAGAGAGAGAGAGAGAGAGAGAGAGTAGCCATTTTGGCTCAAGCAATTTGGCTCAAGCCACGAGTGCTCAAGCCCCACCCCCAGCGTCCTGTGTGGGCTTAAACCAAAAAAGAGAGGCGCGAGAGAGGGGCCATCACCCGCCGACCTGCGGGCCGTGGCCGGAGAGGGGGGCTGAGGGAGAGTCAGAGATAGGGGCCAGCCCCTCCCCAGTGCCATAGCCGCCCCTGCTTCCACCTCTACATCTTTGAACTGCTACGCGACTTCCAGCAGGGGGCCCTGTACTCCATTGCCGGGGGGTTCGGTCCAGTACGGGAACCGCTGCTGGCCGTCCAGCACGTCTACCTGAGGCGAGCGGGGGAGCCTGACAACCACTACCCCATCGATATCGGCGGCCTACGCGACCTCGAGGGGGCATACCAGATTCTCCGCTACCTCCAACCCGCCAGGGATTACCTCAACGTCAAGTCCGTGACTTGGCAGGGAGACCGAGAATAAGATGTCCACACTACTTCAGAGCGGAGGGGGGCCGGATGGCAGCCCAGGAGGGGGGAACACCTCCAAGCGGAAAATGGACAAAGAGGGGCTCACACTCGACTCCATCCGTGGGGCCATCAAGGAGGAGCTGCGGTCGGAAAGACGAGAGTTGAAAATGGAACTGCTGGGGGAGGTGCGAGCTGACTCACGAGCTCCAATCCATGCACACCGCCCAGGCGCAGACCCTTCACCGAGTGGATCAGGTACAACAACGACAACAAACCAACATGGATGCCATGGCAGAAGAACAACGCGCCCTCCGCGAACGCCTGGCCCTTCTGGAAGGCAAGCTCGAGCAGCTCAACACTGGTACCTTGGCGGCCAGGGGGGAGTCGTCCTCCTCGGAAGAAGATCGCAGACAACCAGCGCTCATCATTGGGGGGTGGGATGAAAACACCCCAGCAGCGGAGACTCTTCGCCACGCACATTCCATTGCAGCGCAACTCCGACTCGACATTGATATGGAGGGGGCCTTCGTCCCGGGGATCCGGAGGGGGTATGCCATCATCCCGCTCAAGTTCAAACAGGACGAGACAGAGGGGGAGCAAAGACAACGCATCCAGAATGCCCTCCAAAAGGTCAGGAACGCCAACATTGTCCTCGGGAAAAAGCCGGGCTCTCTCACAAAGCCCTCAACGTCGAGCAAAGGCAAAGCTGGCGGGCAAAGCAAAAAGGCTGGCGCTCGAGCAAGGGGGGGATGTCTCCAAGGTCGAGGCTGAGTTCAACACAGGAACGGTATGGTTCCAGGGTACCAGAATTGCATCAGCCACCGCAGCTGCACCCCCAGACAGCGTGACGGCGGGGGCGGGATGGGTGGACATCATCGCAGTGGCCAGAATCCTCAAGCAAAGCGTGGAGGAGGTGAAGGCCACATGGGAGCGCATCAAACAGAGCCTCTGACAAAAAGAAGGGGCACAGTTTCACCGCCGCAGAGACCGCAAGCCGGGGAGAACGTACCGACTGGCAACTTGGAACGTGGGGGGCTTAGACTCCCAGCAATTTGGGACCTCTGCGAAACACTCGTGGAGACCACTTCCCTTAGGGATGTGCATGTCCTCCTACTCCAAGAGGTGATCTGCGATGCAGGACTGCAATTCGGTGACCACCACAAATGGAAAGCCATCTACGGGAAAAACCAGAAAGCGTGGATACAAGACGAAGGCGTACGCATGAGGGAGCTAGCAGTGACTAACCGCATCTCGCCCCAATGAGGGACAGGGATCCTTTTGCTGGGAGCACAGGGGGGACAGTCACTGGTTACCTTGATGTACTGTAGCCCATCTGACCTACTACCACCCCATCTTGTGACAGAAACCCCACCCCAGCCGGGCCGCAATACGCGGCCATCTCGCATGACTCCTGGGACGTGCGCGCCCTCCGGGGCAGCTCTCCTGTCGGGGGGGGCTAAGCGTGTGGAGAGAGAGAGAGAGAGAGAGAGAGAGAGAGAGAGAGAGAGAGAGAGAGAGAGAGAGAGAGAGAGAGAGAGAGAGA